CATGGGATATTTTTCCACTTGTTCATGTCGGCTTTGATTTCTTTGAGCAGTGTTTTGTAATTTTCATTGTAAAGGTCTTTCACGTCTCTGGTCAGGAAGATGCCAAGGTATTTCATGCTTAGGACATTTGTAATGGCAGTAATGAGTTGCCAGTGAGACAACCCTGGAAAGCTTGCCCTTGGATCCTAAGGTAGGTAGTAAAGCTAAGAGGGCTCTGATAGGTTAGAGATGGAAGGATAAAGAGGTTGTGGACAAAGTGGAGTATTTGATTCAAAGTGGGTATAGTTTTAGGTAATGACAGGCTCCAGATCTACCCATCAAAAAATGTTGCTTAAATTGGTGGAAAAGATTGTTAGAAGATGCAGACATAAAGGAACTTTGATGGTGGGGTATTGAAGTGAGTTTTTACAAAGATACTAATTGAAATGATCAGACTGACGTCAGGCAGCAGTGAGAAAGCAAGATTAGGAGCCAAATACCAAAGACCATAGAGAATGAGGGGCATGATTGAAAGGTAGGTGGGTGACTGTGATGAAGAACAGAGAATCCCAGAGCTGAAGGTGGCATAAGCTTCAAAGGACAGAAAAGATCCATGTTTGGAGAGGCCTCTGTGGCCAAGGTGAAGGACACAGTCAGTAACCAGTTAGTAAAACTTGGAAAATAGCTCAGGAGTAGTTTAGGGGCTGCAAGGGAACTTAGAGATTACCTAGTTTAATCTCTCTGTTGTGTGGTTAAAGAAGCTGAGGTCCAGAGAGAGGAAAGGACTCTCTCGGTGCATTCTGGAAATTATGACTGAGGTGAGAACCCTGCTTTCCTGATTATCAATCCAGAGTTCATCTTGCTCAAAGATCTCACAGCTGCTGCATCTTTCCTTAGCTCTGTTACTGGTCCGAATTTGCTCTGCCATTTTATCCTTTGCTCTATGTAGTTTTAGCATTCACCATCATTTGGCAGGCAGGTCCTTTTACCAGCTGGTTGGAGACAGTAAAAAATATGACTTGCTGCTTAGATTACTGACTGTCATAGAAGATCTTTTTGTCCCGTTTTGTGTCTTCCCTTCCTGTCAGATGCTAATGGATTTCTTGATTATGTCTTAAGGGAGGAGTTAACATTTGAGATGCTTGTCCTGGAACCCCGTGCCTCTGATGATGAGACCCTCGAGTCTGAAGCCTCCATTGGGACAGCTGATAGCTCAGAAAATTTGAATGTGGAGTCTGAAGGTGCCGTCTCTGAGAAATCAGGTAAATGAGCATAGAGGACCAAAGACAACAGAGGAATAAGGATTCTCAAGATAAGACAAAGTCCCTTTTAGGAATGCATTGACCTTGATGAAAAGTAACAAAGTCCTCAGGAATCACTGGTCTTTTTGAAGCTTCTGTATAAATTATTTATCAGCAACCCTTCAACATAACACTTTTTTGATAATTTAATGTTTTGTCCTGTATTTACCATAGAGAAAAGCCAGTAACCACAATATGTGTTGTTTTACTGATCCATGACCCATTTTCTAAGAGTGAGTGGCAGGAATTGTGCCCCCCAATGAACTGGGACTGTACACCAAAGGAAGTATTTAACTGGGTGGCATGCCTCAGGGAGACATATAACTTACTATATATCCTGGCAGTTTTAAAAATGACAGTGACTCTTCTAGACTTTTCCTGCAGGTGAAGTCAAACAGCAGGCTTCCTTGGGGATGATTCTGAAATGATATAAGTAGAAATGGATACTGAGCTCTTCTCAGGTTATGACTGTGCAAAATAGGTCAGCCCAGACCCTCCAAATCTTATCCAATTTCATGTGTGAACAGTGACAGCTGCTTATTACATGGTGGTTTGCTTTAGAGAGAACTGTCATTTACAACTTTAGTCTCTTTTTTGCATTAGAGAGAAGCTTAGCCCTTGGCTCCCTAAAGACAACTGGCAAGGCTGAACCTTCAAGCAAGGTGCGCAAGCAGCTAAAAAAGCAGCAGGACTCATTAGATTCAGTGGACTCTTCAGGCTCCTCTTTATGTCTGTCTAGCACTGCGTCATCTCATGGGACCAGAAAACGATTTCAAATTTATTCCAAATCTCCATTCTACCGAGCTGCCTCAGCTGGTGAGGTCCTGGGAATGGAAGGACCATTGGGCCAGACCAAATCCCTGGAAGACAGGCCTCAGTTCATCAGCAGGGGAACCTTCAACCCTGAAAAGGGCAAACAAAAATTAAAGAATGTGAAAAATTCACCTCAGAAAACCAAAGAGACCCCAGAGGGGACAGTAATGTCTGGCCGCAGGAAAACTGTGGACCCAGACTGTACCTCCACCCAACAGCTAGCGCTCTTTGGGAATAATGAGTTTATGGTCTGAACTGGCAGGTGTGTATCCCTTCATGGCTACAGAGTGCTGAACACATCTCATCCTTGGGGCTTCTTCTCATAACCATGTCCACGACAGTCCATCCTGATGGTGGTCCTGCCTCTTGCCCAAGCACATGGCTGGGACCTTGTGTGCTGAATTCCGGGCCTCCTGTGGAAGTGGAAAGGCCTCTTTGAAACCTGCTGGGGATGGTGCCAGCTGTGCCTTGGCTGCTGTATTTGAGTTGAGATTTCACTAAACAAAGCCACCTAGGGCCTGGGGATCTTGGTCAGTTGCAGTCGTCTCTCCCCACCCTCTTCTTCCTCCCAGAGATGGCTGTTGAACTGGGGGAGATATTATGGGCCTGAGGGACCCTCTGATTTCTGACAGTTGGAGAAAACATATAGATCTTAACTACAAAAGCAAAAGCCTTTGGGTTTATTTTGGGATAGTTAAGAGCTGGGGTGGAATATAATTTTTTTTCCCAAGGATTTATAAACAAAAAGCCTAAGCCCTCTATTTTAAGATTTTTGAAAAACATTCCATGTTATATTCTGGAGAAAGTAAAAAAGTGATTGTTTTCATTAAGCCATCAGATAGTGTCTCAGATGTCTTGTTATACAATGAAAAAGAGAGTACATGTTTTGTTTTTTGATGATGTTTGATGTCATAATAATCAATGCTGGCTTAACTCCTGTTTAGTTCCTGCCAAATATATTGCATGGGCTGAAGTGTCAGTAGCCATACTCTTCTCATGTTTCCTGGTCCTAGGATCAGATTCCTCCAATTTTTTTTTAATTTCCCAGAGACATGATAATCCCTAAACATGAGGGTTTCATCCTAATCCGTTCAGGCTTTTCTCTTTGTATAGATTCAACTGAAGAACACATTGAGCCTCTTCCTCTGCTGGTAGTTCCCATCACAGACTCAGACACATAGTGTGACCATTTAATCAGCTCTCCAAAAACCTTCACATACAACATTGCATGGATAAGTGTTACAGAAAGCTGCCAAAAAATAAAAAGGATTTTCATGTGACCCATCTAACTTTTATCTTTCTTTCCTCAGACCATCAGTATTAAATAGATTTTTTTAAAAATCAAGGACTACTTGAAGCTATTTTTGTTAATATTCTGGCCACTGAAGTTTACTGTAAATATATATGTATAGTAGGCATATTTCTTTTTAACCTTGTGCTTTCCTCCTTCCCATGGAATTTCTTCCCACAGATTAGGAGCCACTGGACGAGGTAGTAACAGCCACTCATCCCTAAATTGAGGAAAAATCATCATTTTTCACCACTTGGTGGTCTTCGTACACCTGGGTTATAATAGCATTTCCAGTGTCTTCGCATTTGTGGGATTAGAAATTTGTTTTTGCTATTTATAATGTATGAAAAATGAAACATGATACCCCTTCTTGACATAAGTATGTGAAATGTTTATTTTTAAAGTTACTAAATGCATCTTGTCTAGCTACGACATGCACTGTTCTGAAAAAGAGCCTTTACCTATATAACCTGTATTTTGGTTTTTCTTCCTTTTCATACGACTTTGATTTTAAGTTATGGAATTATTAAGTCTTTTGTTAAGGCAGAGTCTCTCCTGTTACATAACGCTAAACCTCATGCCACTGCCTCAGTGGCTATTGGTCAGCCCCAGAGGTCAGACTTGGAGCATCATTCTGAGAGGCAGCTAAAGGTAGCAGGAGTCTTGCCTCTCCCTGGTTTGGGTTCAGAATTTATCCAGGGAAAGGAAGCTTTTAAAATCTCCAGGATGATGATGGTTAGTGAGTCCAAGTTATGTTTTATATCCCACAATCGTCTGCCACCTTGTTCATGTTGTTCTGAGGAGTAATAACTGTTAAACCTTTAAAAATTCGGAGAATTGCCTCAAGGAAACCCCTACATGGTTGTGTCAGGGTGGGACTGTGGTTCCTGCACAATCTGTGTCTCAGTCTTCTCTTAGAGTAATGCACTGTGGGGCGTTTACTGGGATTTTCCACTTGCTCCAGAATATTGGTTCAATACCATATTAAAAAAAAAAAAAAAGATTACCCTTGTTGGATGATTTTCCCTAGAAGATTGGCCTGGAGAACACCTCTTGGCACATGTTCTCCATCTAAATCTGGTTGTTTTGGCAAAGTAAGTTTTTGGCAGTTAAGAAACTACTTACATAAGTCACTTTATAGGAACTAGGTAATGGATGTTAAGAGACTTTATAATTTTTCTCAGGGACCTGAAACCTGAATTTGGATAAAGTTAAATAAATAAATACTTGTTTTTTCGGTTACTAGATTTGTGGATTTGTAGTTATTTAACAAGCTACCCAGGATGGGGGTGGTGGGGAGGAGCAATCCACAAAGCTATAAGCATGGAGAGCAAGAGTGGGGCCCTCCCCTGGAGGAGAGCAAGCCCTTGTTTACGCAGGATGACAGGCCTGGCGGCCCAAGAAAGAGATAAAGCCATAACTCTTAAAACCTCCAGAACCATATGCTCTGTCTTCCTCCACCTGTAGCTGGTCCTGTGTGTAGTTCAAGGTGTGTCATCACAAAGCGATGCTGCATGACAGTCACTTAGGATGATGATAGTGAACTCGAATGTGTGTCAAACCAGTGGTTTCCTAGTTCTTCTCTTTTGTTTGTTTGCTTTGATCTCTGCATGGTGGGGGTGGGGATGGGACAGCCCCACAGGTGGAACCCGAGCTCCACAGCGCAGAGCATTTTAGTCACAGGACACACTCTGGGCCCCACACAAAACCTAGACTTTGAGTTCTGCCCATTAAAGCCAGTGTATCTCTGTAATCGCATACATATCATGGAAAATAACGGAAGCAGAGAAGTGCGATCTCATTCTGCATCACAGATTGGAGCAAATTAACAGCAAATACAGGCAGGACTCAGGGAGGTGATGTGCTTAGTTTGCAATGTCCTTTGTACTTCCAGCCATTCAAATTATTTTCCCACTCTGGGCTTCTGAAAACACAGAGGGAGATACAGCCCTCCTACCATGAGCCTTGTGGAAAGAGAGTCAGAAGGGTCAGGAGTCAGGGGACAGAATGCTGGAGCCTCCACCCTCTTATGCTTTGGAAACCTGCCCTAGCTCTTACTCTGTTGAGAGGTTGGTGAGGACTTCTGCATTCCATCACAGTGGGCTGGTTTTCACTGTCAAAGACAGAGGGTCTCATAAGTGTCTGAAAGCTGTGGTTCAGCAAGGGTATAGTCCCACCTCAGTGCCTGCGGGCTGTGTCTTTAACTGTTACTAATGATTGTGTACCTTTCACAAGCACTTTGGTGAACTGGAGGGATGAAAAGATTCTCAGGATGTGTTCCAAGCTAAGAGAGTTTTAATTTTAAAAAGAAACATGGTCCAGACAGCTTTCCTCATCCTCCTCTGACTTTTTCCTTGGTGGGAGCTGCATGTGGGTGTGCATCATTCTGTATTGACAGGTGTGTTATGTCCACCCCAGACTATTGTGACAACTCCCCAGCACTGTACCCCAATACCATGCTGGCCTTGGTAGTAGAATTCCTTAGTGTTTATTGGAGTCCTCTTTTTATATACCCCAAGAAGACTTTTAATCACTTTCCCCTGGAGCCACTCCCACGTTTGATTTGGTATTGAAAGGGTAACAGCAAAATGATGATTGTGGAGATGGATCTATTAGGTCTTGTTGGTCTCTTGGTTGAAACTGTTTTCAAAAAAGCCCCGCCAATGGGCCTGTCACCTTGCTATCCATACATACTTAATGCCTATTTATCAACCCTGGAAGTTCTTATAGAAGTTGCACCTTTTGAACCAAGTATTTGTATTTACTATGGGAAAGGTGTGGACTACAGATTAGTATTATATTATTTTAATGGATTTAAAGTAATTTATAAGTATGCTAAGTGTAAATTTTAAAAGATTATGTATTGTAAAAGGACATATCCTGTGAAATATAATATCACTTTACTGTTTAATAGAATAATTCTATAAAAAGAATGATTTATCTCACCCACAGAACTGCTTACATTCCTGATGCAATCAACAGGCACTTTGTACATTTCCTTTCTGTTTGTTGGGGGGAAGGGGAGCAAGACATCATCTGTATAAAGTGCAATTTGTGTCAACTCAAAATATGCACTGTGTGGCTACACAAAAGCAGCTTGATGAACATATCACTCAGTGGCTCATTAAACAAAGCTTCCAGGAGCAATATGTGTGGTTTGTTTTCTGCCCATCCTGGCTCCCACTCCAACCTAATCTAACCCAACTCCAAGGAACAGCAGTGATTTCTTAGCTACACTGAGGCGTTTTAAGGAAAGGATCCACCTCAAAATTGATGAAGCGCAGAGGTGGTGGTGGTTGAAACTCAACCGAATTCAAGTGAAGGTGAGATTCACATGTTGGTTTTTCTGTAATGGATGCATTTACTCAGTTGAAGTCCAGATGGGCAGCAAGAACAGTAAATTTGCATTGGAGATGGTCCCCTCGAATGGCAATTTGAAGTAGTAGCAAGATCCTCTAAGAGACGGTGAGGGGCTTTTGCTGAAAAGCAGAGCAGCATGCTGCAATAGGAACAGGAATTTTAACCCACTCTGTCATTTTTGATCTGCCACCAGATGTTAGTTTTTCTATCTAGAATTCAATTCTCTTCCTCAGATGCCCTTCTCTGGATAGCTCCTACTGCCCCTCAGATCTCAGTGTAAAGTGCAGTTGTCCTGGGAAGTTTGCTGTGACCCCTTGAGCTGGGTTAGAGGTCTTGTGTTCACAATAGTGCTCAGTATCCACAGCAGACACTTGCCATAATCCCAAGGCAGGAAGCACACCTGTCTTGCTCTTAGAGCCCCAGACAGACCTAACGTGAGATGCTGGGCACTTAGTTTGCAATGTTCTTTGTACTTCCAGTTGAGAGGATTGGACAGTATCAGTGGTCCCCAAATGTCAAACTAGGTCTATATTGAAATGGAAAAAAAAACCCCACAAATGTAGTTATTTTTTCCCTAATGCCAAATGTATTCAATTTGTTAATGTAGTCAATTTGGTTATGAAGACCTGAGAACAGAAAGGTAGAAGGATATGCAAGTTATAAAAAGACCAGAGCTTTGGGTTTGGTTTTGTTTTTTAATTGTTTTTCTTCTCGATTAGGTAGCAGCACAGTGCCCTAGAGCCAGGGTAACAACCACGCAAGCAGATAAGGCACATGACTTGAATCTTTTAGGCAACTCTGACTCATAGTCAAGGAGTGTGTACCTTCCAGGGACCATCCATTCCCTCAACAAATACACCTACAAGTGCTTTTGGTACATTGGTGAACAAAAGGAAAACACAAAAAGATCCCTGCCCTGTGGCACTTGCATTGTAGTGGGAAAACTAGGAATATCCACCAGATGGACACCAGTCATCCACAACACCTGGGCTCCACTGTCAGGTACATTTATTCATTTGCATGAGCACTTCCTAGCATCTTTGAGTTTTTCCCTGCCCTTCCTACCTTGAAATACCCCCTTGGGAGCAGTGAAGGAAAAGTGTCTGGTGAATCTGAAAACTGCAGCTTTAGTTGAAAGTTCCGCATAGGCCCACAGGAACTGCTTCTGTGGTAACCAAAGATATTTCTGGCAGTGAAAGAGCTTTCAAGTTATCTCCTCTCCTAGCGAGGGCCCTAAATGCAATGAAAGAGCCATTCATTACTCATTAGAATTTCAATGGGGCCAAGCTACCACAAAGGGCCCAAGAAATGTGGGGACACACTGACAGCTGCACTATGTTAGAACAGAAGCCACTTGGTGTATTCCAGGTGTGATGGATTTGGTACAGAAATTAGGAGCTCACATAAACATTAAAAGAACTGGGGGAGCAGAGGTCAGAGAAACTTCCATAGAAAGTCAAAGTCGCCAGACACGGTAGCTAACGCCTGTAATCCCAGCACTTTGGGAGGCAGAGGTGAGAGGATTGCCTGAGCCCAGCGGTTCGAGACCAGCCTGGAAAACTTGGCGAGACCTCATCTCTACGATAAACCTAAAAACTAGTTGGGCCTGGTGGCGCATGCCTGTGGTTCCAGCTACCTGGAAGACTGAGGCAGAAGGATCGCCTGAGCCTAGCAGGTCAAGGCTGCAGTGGCCGTGAGTGTGCCACTGCACTCCAGCCGGAGTGACAGAGTGAGACTCCAACTCAAAAAAAAAATGTCAAAGTCACACAAATCTCAGTTCCCAATCCCAAGTTATCAAGAGCTTTCCTGGAAACTACTGCAATTGTCGAGGAGAGCTAGCCAGAAGGCTGCTGTGAAATCCACTTTCCCGCAAATCTGGCTGCACTCTCTCCAGAGAAAAATGACTTCTCCTCTATGTACCTTCCTGATCTCATGTGAATATCTTCCATTAGTGAATCAAAGGGGAAGGAGTTCTGGGAAATATAATTCCTGACATCTCTGCAATGAAGAACCCTTAGAAGGGGGGAAGGGGTGGCATTGATGCCAGGTTGCCAGCAGACAATGTGCCTTCTCTGCATCTCCAAGACTTCCTCCTGGAGAGCCCCACAACTTTTCCCCAATGTCGACGTGCTAAGCTCACACATCTCAGACCCTGACCTGTGAACATCAGCATGTCGTTAAAGGCCAGACCATAAGATAAATGTGCAGGGCTCCTTTGGCCATATTTCAACCCTATTTCTTGATGAGGTGTCTGTGTCTAGGCCTTAAATCTTGTGGATAAAACTTTGAATAGGAAATTAGAGAGTAAAATGGCTTTATAGACACTAGATGGCCCAAGTAACCAAGGCCACTCTGATGCTGAGGATGAAGAATCTCGTCTTTTTTGTTTGTTTGGCTGTCTGTTATTAAGTTGGGTCTCTGTCACCAGGCTGGAGTGCAGTGGCACGATCACAGCTCACTGCAGCATTCTACCTTTGGGCTCTGGTGATTCTCCCACCTCAGCCTCCTAAATAGCTGGAAATACAGGCATATGCCACCACACCTGGCTAATGTTTTGATTTATTATAGAGACAAGGTCTCGCCAAGTTGCCCAGGCTGGTCTTGAATGCCTGGGCTCAGGTAATCCTCCCACCCTGGCCTCCCAGAGTGCTGGGATTACAGGTGTGAGCCATCACGCTCAGTCAGTTGTTTTGTTTTTTTAATAGAGATGGGATCTCACCATGTTGTCCACACTGGTCTTAAATTCTTGGCCTCAAGTGGACCTCCCACCTCAGCCTCCCAAAGTGCTGGGACTTCAGGCCTGAGCCACCGTGCCCAGCCATCAAAGTGTTTGAATGCTGAAGTAAAAAGGGCTTAAGATGGGCAGTATTTGCCATACTCTCTCTTCTCTGGGCACCAGCCTAGTTGTTGTCATTTCCAGAGCAGACAAGGCTGTCTCTATCAGCTAGGGAAGTCAAACACAAGGCCAAAGGGCAGGGAGCCCCTGGGATGTCTCAGATTTCTCACATAAACTTTTCCTTCTCAATTTCAAGCACTTACTCTCTGAAGGCAGAAAACGCAGCCGAATTATTCAACTGATCTCAAGGGGGAGGAGGGAATGGGGAGGAGGCAGTGTCAGTTAAGCAGCCTTGAGTCACACCGAGGTCTGAGTACTCTCTAAGCCTCTGTTTTTTGACTTCTAAATGGAGATGATTGGTCCCTCAGAGTTAATCTGAGGAGTACATAATTTGAAAGTGCTCAGCCCACTGCCTGCTGGAGACATTGCCTGATATGTATTAACTTTTGAAACTTAACTATTTTCTAGGTCTTCTGGGTCTGTGTTTGAAAAGGACAAGGCATGCCTGAGCTTCACCTTTCCATAAAGAACTAAGAAGTGATGGGAGCCCTTTCAAGGAAAGTGATTGTGCTGAAAGGAACTCACCTCGACCTATGACCTACGGCGATGAGGAAGGTGAAGACGGTGAACCATGGGATGGCGGGGTGACGTTGGCAGAGAAGTTGGGTGTTGAGTCCCACAGGAGATTGTCCCCCAAGCTTGAATGCATCACACCTGGACTCTGACGTGGCATGGAAGCCACAGGGAATCCTAAAACCTTGCATTCCTTCAGTGTCCTTGAAGAGAGAGCCTTGGCCATACTCGCTGGATTTTCTGTTTTTGTTTTTTAACTTTTTTATTGAGATCTAACAAAATACAGTGAAATGCACAAGTCCTAAGTGCACAGCTCAATGAATTGTTTTGTATGAATACATTTGGGAAACCACTGCCCAGATCAAAATGAGGAGTGTTCCCAGTACTCTAAAAGGATCCTTGGGCCCCTTCCTAACCCACCCCCCACCCAGAAGAAACCACTATGCCAACTTCTATTACGATCAGTTAGTCTCGCTGGTTCTTGCTTTGCATAAAGGGAACTTGTGCCTGGCTACTTTCATTCAAGTGTTATGTCTGTGAAATGTATCCATGTTTTACATGCATCAGTAATTCATTCTTTTTTATTGCTGTTTTTCATTATAGGAATACACCCCAATGTATTAATCCATTCTACCATCAATGTACAGTTGGGGACTCTTATGAATAAAACTGCTATGAATATTCCTTTATCGTCTGGAGGACATTTCTGCTAGGTACAAATACCTACATGTGGGATTGTGGGTTCAAAGGGCAGGAGGATGCCGAGCCCTCATAGATTGGTTTCCAGTGTGGTGGTGGGCATTTTACTTCCATTCCCTCTAGTTTTTGAACATATCACAAAGGAGCTTCTCCATCGGTGTATTCCCTATGGTCTTGCGGAAAAAGAGGAGCTCGATGCGTTCAGAAGTGATAAACCTCAAAGATGGGAGGAGGAGGAGCAGCTTCCCGAACCTGGGCAGGCGAGAGGACAGCATTCGTCTTATTCTCAGCATCTGAGCGTGGGTCCTGGGGGGTGGTGCTCTCCCAGGAAAGGCAGGGCAGGAAGAGAGGAGAGGAGAAGACCCAGGGCCAGCTGGGGAATTTTCAGGAAGGGCCCGGTTCCCTGGAGAAGCTGCCTCCACCCCCATACCCCATCGCGAGCCTCCCCACTGCTTCAGGAGCGTAACGAAAATGGGAAGTAAATGTCGTTTGTTATGTGCAAAGATTATAAAGTGAGAAATTATTTATATTGATCTTACAGTTGATTCAACTTTACCATGGTGAGAAAGTGAGAAGCATTCAGGACTTACAATGGGGTGATGTCTGAAAATGCATTTTCAAATTCCAAACAGTGGGTTTATCAGAACATAATCCCCTGGTAAGTCAAGAATTACCTGCATATGAATATATTATTAATCATATATATGAGGATTATAATCATATGTAATAATCATATTATAATCACATAGATAAATATTTGTTTGTTTGAGGCAGGATCTTGCTCTGTTTCCCAGACTGGAGTACAGTGGCACAATCATAGCTCACAGCAGCCTCTACCTCCTGGGCTCAGCCTCACGAGTAGCTGGGATTATAGGCACACACCACCATGCCCAGCTAATTATTTTTTTGTTTGTTTGGGTCTCTCTATGGTTGCCCAGGCTGGTCTCAAGCTCCTGGCTTCAAGTGATCCTCCTGCCTCAACCTCCCAAAGTACTGGGGATAATAGGCGTGAGCCACCCTGCCCAGTCATCTATATATGAATATATAGCAGTAAAAACTCTCATAATTCTCATCTGTAAACTACCTAGGATGATGGGAGGCTCTGAAAACGTTCTGAAGTTGAAGGATAATTTTGGTGGCTAAGATACTTATTCAGAAAAAAAAATTGCTGTAGTTTTAAATAATTTGTTAAAACAGATATGCCCAGTGACCAAAAGGTGGATGTTGAAGCCCCAAGAGATGGGTGATGGGGGGATCAAACCTTCCCTGATGGCCTAAGTCAAAGCCCAAGGTCAAGGAGGCCACTCCACAGCAGGACAGCCCCATGCTCAGCCCACCATGAGGATCTCTGGGAAGATCCCTCACCACTCAGTGATCTGCAGAATAGCCTTTGCTGCCCTGAGGACTTCCTTTCTCTTGTTGGGGCCAAGGGAGTGACATGCAGTGGTCAAAACCCCCTCCCATCTAACTTTCCACTTCTGTTTGTCTGATTGAGGAGTGGGAAGAAGAAATAGCTGTAAAGTCAATTCGATAAACTTTTTACAAAGTGGAGGTACCAGCCACTGAGGGATCTGAAATTAAATTCAATGTATCACAATCCGCCTTTTCTAAAAAAAAAAAAAGAAGAAGAAAAAGAAGGAAAGAGAAAGAAAAAGAAAAGAAATAGAAATATCAGAGTAACCTGAACAAAATAAGTGTAGAAATTATTTGGTGGAACTTAGTTTCTGTGTGTGTATATTGGGTTATGATGGAATTTGTATTTCTTTCTGGATACTGCAGTTCTAAAAATCTGAAATATTCTGACTTAGAGAACCCTAAACCACTATCTTTACACTCAGTTCTGCCTATAGTAAGCAATGAACTTCTAAAGTAGTGACACAGGAAATATTATTATTATTATTATTATTTTTTTTTTTGGAGGCAAGGTCTTGCACTGTTGCCCAGGCTGGAGTGCTGTGTTATGATCATAGCTCACTGCAGCCTCGAACTCCTGGGCTTAAGTGATCCTCCCACCTCAGCCTCCTGAGTAGCTGGGATGACAGGCATGTGCTACCACACCTGCATATTTTATTTTTATTCTGTAGAAACTGGGTCTGGCTATGTTGCCCAGACTGGTCTTTAACTCCTGACCTTAAGCCATCCCCTCACCTTGGCATCCCAAAGCGCTGGGATTACAGGCATGAGCCCCTGCACCTGGCCAACCTAGGAAATCTTAATCAGCATTTGAAATTTTGACGCATAACCAATATGCCAGGACATCACTGGGAGCTTGTCCCAATGGAAGCTTGGCCTAGGAAGACATGGTGTCTGAGTGTCTGTGACAGCCACTCTTGGGATGTTACGTCAAGTCCTAGTCAGGGCGGTTGTTCTCCCTAAGCTCATAATCAGCACAAATCTTCCTGAGCAGACGCCTTGTATACTCTGACTCTTCTTAAAGGGAAATGACCTCTTCTCCTTGGGATCATTTCTCAGACTAGAGGTGATTTGAGGACGCCCATGTCCACTCCCTTCTACAGAGAGAACTGCTGGGAACCCCAAGAGAATAGAGACCACATGACCTAGAACAGCCACAGAGGCCTTGAAGGCCAGGGGGTCCAAGCCAGCCAAAGTTCCACTGCACCTGCTGGAGCTGGCCCAGACAAGGCAGTCCCTGAGCACTGGCTGCTGTCCCCTCTCCTCTGCCACATTCAGCTGCAGCTACTCCCCTAAGCCTAGCCATGACGGGCATGGTGGAAGCAAGTGGACAGAATGCCCGCAGTACATCCACAGACCTCGCTGTGTTCCTGCAAAACCATCCTTCCTCCTGACTTTCCTTTTTATTTTCTTAATAACTCCTCTCCCAAAGAGCTCCTCTTCCCTCATTCCTGACCATTACCTAAGCACCGAGGCTGACCCATTCCAACTCTCAGGGTCTCCTGTGTCTATCGTCTCACTTCTACTCCCCCTGGTCGCGCCCAGAAATCAGAGCTCCGTGGAACCCCTTGGAAGGTGGCAGGAGCTGCCGTCCCCTCCCTGGTAGTATCCTCTGCACTCACTACCATGCCAGTCTGCATAAGGCCCAGCCCTGTGTATGACAATCTCCAGTTCAAAAACCTGCCATGGCTCCCCTCTGCCTCCCAAGTCAGATGTGGCCTGTGGCTGACATTCAAAGCCCTGGTCCCAGGGAGCCTTTCTGGCTTAATCTTACACCTTCTTACTATTGTACCTTCTAATGGGACTCTTGTCCTAAGAATACATCTATTCTTTCCTGTCTCTCTCACTTTGTCAATGATGTTTTCTCTTCTAAACCCTTCCAAGTCCAGTCCTGCCTCCACAAAGCCCCCCCAAATTCAGCTTTGTCCTTCCCCACACCAGGGGCGTGGGGGGGGCCTCTGCCTCCGCCAGATAACCCTCCCATACCTACCTAGGGTAGTTTCTGCCTTCAGTGTGGTCCCTGTGCCAGGTGTCCCCAGAAGACAGCAGCTTTGTTTTTTGCACAGTTTGGGCCCCGCTCCTGGGGCCTGGCCCTGTGCCTGGCACACAGTAGAGGCTGGCTCGGGGCTGGCTGAACCAAGACCTTTGTCCTATCTAAGCTGTAGAGCCCTGAGATGGTGTCAGAGAGGCGGGCAGAGGGTGGAGATGGGAAAGGACAGACAGGCGGGGGGGCACATGCCCCATCACCTCACGGGCTGGCCAGGGTGGTGGGCCTTGCTGTGCTGGTTCAGCATCACCTGGGACTGGTCCTGCAGGGCTTCCACATGTTCTGGGTCCTTCAGGCCCCGCGTCTCTGGGGAGAGGCAGCATCATGAGCTCCTCTCCCAGGCCTCCCAAGCCTGCCCCAGCCCTGTCCATCAGCCAGGAGGTGGGTGTCAGGACAGGGAGCCCAGCCCAACCTGCTCCTCCCTCCTCCTCCCCAGAGGCTTGCATACATCTACACACGTGCAGGGTTGGGGGGGTAGGGGAGTGGAGGGAGAGTGGGAGGCAGAAGAAGTCTCTGGAATGCCCATGTTTCCTCCCAGCCAGCCTTCGGGAGGGCCTGGCCTGAGCCTCGGCTACCTGGTTTGAAGAGGACCAGCGCCTTCATGCAGGCGAACTCCGTGGGGTCCACCGCCAATGCCCGGAACCGGGAGATGGTCTCCCGCAAGATGCGCGTCTCCATGTTGGCCAGTGTGAGCCGGCCCTGAGTGCTGCCGGTCGTGGGAGCCTCAGGCGGCACCAGCAGGGGACAGCTGTCCAGAGGCAGAGACCACTGTATGGCTCCGAGGAGGAAGAGTTCACTCCATGCCTCTTCCAGCAGGATCACCTGTGCTCAGAGAGGGTGTGAGTGTGACAGCTAACACCCAGCTTCTCTAGCTTAGCCTCTGCCACTCGCTCAGGGCCCCTAGGAATGTCTCAGGGACCAGGAATGTTCTCCTAAACTCTGCCTGGCATCAGCCAGGGGCCCAGGGCTCTGGGATTTGGCCCCATCTGGCCCTGCTGCCCACCCTCCCATACTCTCCGTGTTCCATCAGAGCTGTACCTGGACACGTGGGAAAGCCCAGGGCCCTGGGAAGCTGGGCAGGCCCAGGGACACACCCCATGGGTATACTTCAGAGACTTGGCCTGACTCTTCTGAGTTGCTCTGTCGAAACACACAGGCTGGCCAAGGGGCTGAGACCCCCAGGGGCCTCTCCTGGTTTTCATGAGGGATCTGTTTGCCCATTAGAAGCCCAGAGGGGCGTCCAGTGACCAAGAGGCTGGGCTGAAACACAAATCCTGGAGTCACAGGCAAGCGAGCTCCAAGGGGTCTAAAGTCAGCCATGCGTGTTTGGGGGGTGCAGGTTGCTTGTCACCTGCAGAATGTACACGGGGCCTGAGGGTCTTCTAGGAGGCAGGAAGACCCAAGGAGTCATAGGCCCTGCCTTCAAGTCCCCAGTGCCTGGGGGGCGGTCCCTGGCCATCATCAGTTCCTAAGTAATGATGATGCCTGCCATCATCCACTGAGCATGCACCCCCAACTGTCACCGTGTCCCCAGCCATCACCATCCGAGCTGTGGGATCTCCATTCACATTGGCACGGTACTCCTATCTGGCTGACTCTCGGGACCACCTGACGCCAGCCCAGCCCAACTCCCCCGTGCCAACCCTGACGGTACCTGATCCCGGAAGGGCAGGCTGGAGAATACGGGCAGGTTCTTGGCCCACTTGACGGCCATGAACAGCAGGCGCGCCGATGTCTCGTGGATGCTGTCCAGGCCGCAGGAGGAGGAAGAGGAGTACGGAGACGGGGAAAACTCAGGGTCATTGCCGGTGACATCGATGTTCTCATCAGCTGTCGGAGGAGGTTGTGATCTCAGTGCCAGCTCCATGGAGGCCGCAGGGAGGGCTCGGGTGTGAGGATCAAGGCCCGACTGTGACCCAGGAACTGAGGCTCCCCAGCCTGGCCCTCGGCCCCCTCTTGCTCACCGTCCTCTGGCTCCAGCTTAGCACAGGTTTCAGCTGTGATGAGGCTGGCCATGAAGTGGTGGCCCAGGGCTCTGGCTGCAGACATGGGTGTGGGGCCCCGTGGACTGGACCCCACCGGGGCAGGGGGAGCCACCAGGGGCTCAGACCGGGGCTCAGCGTCGTGCTCCACACTGTCCAGGCGGACCTGGGCTGTGCTTCGGGGCTGGCGCTCATTCTGCACGGCTGGGGAGGCAGGAGGGTCAGGACACCATGCCGTCCCAGGGCCATCTCCTCCGTCACCTCCTCCAGGCAGCCCCACCCCCACTCACCATCCTGGTTCATGCCTGCCTGCAGGCACTTCTTCAGCCGGCAGGCCTGGCACTGGTTGCGATGGGCCTTGTCCACCGGGCACATCCCCGAGCCCACCTGGCACCTGCAGGCGAGGAGGAGCCCTGGACTCAGTGTCCCGTGCGGGCCCTGGGCCGTGGGTGTGGCCCCTTTTGCGGGAGCCCCTTCCACCCTGAACAGCCCCTACCCCTCACAGGCCCACTCCCTGGGGGACAGGAACCCAGCAGGGTGGCCTCCCTCAGGGTGGCCTCTGTCACCTGTAGATGAGCCTCCGCCGCACGCTCCTCTTGAAGAAGCCGCTGCAGCCGTTGCAGGCGTAGATGCCATAGTGCTTCCCGCTGCTACTGTCGCCACAGACTCGGCACTGGAGCGAGGGGCCCACACCTGGGATGGGGGCAGGGTTCACACTCCCTCCAGCCTCCAGACGGCCCCGCCCTCCCACATAAACATGCCATCTGGCAAGCAAGCATCCCACATGACATGGCCCTCCAGCTTCTGCACCCCCCACACACCCAGTGGCTAGTTTTCAGTCCTGCCTCCACTGCCCCAACTCCCAACCTTCTCTGGAGGTGGCTTCAGGCTCCACCGCCCCACAAAGACATTCCCAATGACACCACCAGGGGCCTTTTAGGCGACAAGCCCAAAGGGGGCCTCTCTTCCTTCCTGCCCCATCCTGGCTTTGCTGGCCCCCGCCTTTCTGGGATTCTGGGTTTGTCAGCAGGCTCCCTCCCCTCTTGCCTGCAGCCCCCGGGCCAGGGGCTGAGTGGCTCTGACTCCTTGCACGTCCCTGCAAGCCTCTGCCCCCTCCCCCGCAGGACCCCGGCCCTACTCCAGGAAAAGCCATACCTGTTGGGTCCTCCCCGAGGCCCCACCTGCCTGGAGACTCCTTCCGGGAGGCAGCCCCCGCAGCAGGTGCAGCAGCAGCCACAGTGGAGCTCATGGGTGCTGTGGCCAGGTCCTGGGCTGTGCCCGCCTGCCACCTCCTGGGAGGCCTCCTGGGTTGCTGAACCAGCCGCCTCTGCCTCAGTCTCTGTGCCTCTGTCTCTGTGTGTGTGTCCCAATCCTTCTACAATCTTGACTTCTCCCTCTCCCCAGCAGTCTCCCAGCGTCTTTGTATCTCTCCCCAGTCTGTCTCTCTCCGTGTGTCTCTGCCTCTCTTTCCTGCCTCCTTGCCACTTTGCCTCCTTGCCTGAACTCTGTCTGAACTCAGGCACTGCTTCAAGTTCCTGAAGCCCCTCGCAGCGGCGACTCTGACTTGAGGAGATTTCTCCCAGGGCGGCTGCAGGATGCAATTTATGATCCTCTTAATCTTTACTGTCTCCACAGGGGATCAACCCGCCATACCTGTGGCGTTACCAAGGTGCCCCCGGAGCCGGTCAGTCCTGCTGCCCCCACACCCGTTCTGGGCAACCCAGTGTCCCTAGGGCCCTTCAGCCTGTTATCCTGTCCATGCCAATTCTCGGAGGGAGTTGGGGACTCCCACTTCCCCAAGGGCCTTAATCTTTTTGAGCTGTTTGGCGCGGGTCTGTGGCAAGAGTGTCAGGCCAGTGCCTGTGGGTCCCAGTGCCGGGTGGGTCCTTACATGTGGCTCCCCCTGGGTACTAGGTAGACCCAGCTCTCTAGCCCAGTGGTTCTCACCCCAGTCCCTCAACGAGGGACTGCTTGAGGCTCACGACTGAGGATCTGCCTCCCCTGGAAGGCTAGCAGTCCCCGGAGGCCCCGCACAGAGGAGGCTCTCGGACAAGTCACGTGGAGGATTTGAGGCTGGCCTGAAGGAGGGGGCCTAGGGCCCACCTGGAGGGTTTCCTTCAGGTCTGGGGTTGGCAGGTGCTTTTCTCACCTACCTGGGAGCTGGACCTGCATGACAGGAGAAGGGGAGGGGACACAGCCACCATGAGCCTGGCCCAGGATCTCGGTCCCTTCCTCTTTCTCCCAACAGTTTCCCTCCCCTGACCCCAGGCCCAGTCCTCCCAGCTTGGGCCCAGGGGTGGCTCTTTGGGGAGGAGAGGAGAGTCTGTGTCTCCTTAGATGGAGTCCCAGGCCCTACTGGGGAGAGTGGAGAAAGCAGAAACAAATCCAGATTCAGATCCCTTCTCTGTCACAGACCAGACACGGGTCCCTGAGCAAATGACTTGACCTGCCTGAACTTCAGTTTCTTCCTCTGTAGAAAGGGATGACAAAAAGTACCTGTCTTGTGGTGTCCTTGGGGAAACCAAACATATTCAGGAAATGTGTTTCAGAGCCTGGTACTCAGTAAGAGCATCATCAAGGATGGGCGGTTACACTTCAGGGTCACAAGATCATGGGGGACACTCAGAAAGTAGCCGTTCCCTCACCTGCTCCTCTGCCCCCAACTCACCTGCTGCCCCATGGACCCCCCCACCCTCGGCCAACTGAGCCCACCTCTGGGGCTGACTGGGGCAGGGTTGCCCCAACCTTACAGCCCGAGGAGAAGGGGGCAGGGGAAGCTTCTGGAAGGATCATGGAGTTAAGGGGCCAGGGGTGGGGCCTGGCCCTTATGTAAGTGGGGTTAACCCTCACTGTGACAGGGAAGCACTATTGGGGATTTGGGAAGTCAGCTCTAGGGGCTTTGCCGGGTAATCCGCTTTCTGGAGCCTCAGAAGATCGAGGCCACCGGGCTGGGCCCTCTCACCTGCCCTCCTCTCCGCTGTCCTCATCCCTCCCTGCAAGGAAGCCCCCTGGGAATCTCCCCTGAAGAGGTCTCCAGCTCCACCTCAGCACCCCAGCCAAGAGCACCCTCCCCTGAACCTGACTGGCCACACCCTCCTTCCCGGAAGCCCATCTCTCCCAGTTCTTCCAGAACACAGCTCTGTGCCTTGACTTACCACCTCGGTGCACCAGGGCTCAGCCGCAGCAGACTGTTGCACCCCCTTGGGCGATTCACACACAGTCACACTTCCCCAACCACATCAGACCCCTGCCTGCGCCTCTGCCCCTAGAGGCTCCCCACAGACCCCCCCAAGTTCCACTATGGATCCCAACTCTGCGCCCCCAAGCCAGCTGGTCCCCAGAGGTGGTACCCGAAACCCTGGGGTTAGGGGGTCCCCTGGAGCAAACTCGTGCAGGGACAAAAGTGCTTAAGGCTGAGGCCAAGGGTCTTGGACCCTGGAGGCTGAGCTGAGGACAAGTTGATGACCAAGGGGCATCAGCCACTCAGAGGAAGTTCAGGGTGGTGTCAAAGTGTACTGGGAGGATTCAAGGATGGTGGCATCACCATGACAAGTGTCCCACGGGGTCACCAAGAAGGCAAACGGAAAGAGTCCTTCCACAAATGCTTTCAATATCATATTCAAACTTCACAGCAACCCTGTGCATGGGCCATCACCCTTATTAACCTTGCTCACAGATGAGGAAACTGAATCAGAGAGGTGAAGTCGTTTGCATCAGCCATACAGCTACTGAGTGGTGAGAGGCTGGGAATGGAGAGGGGGCTTTCAAACTGCATCTGAACCTCAAACACCTGCTTGGCACCAGGACACGCTCTAGGAAGGAGAGGCATGAGCCAAACAGCCTTCTCTGGTATCAACAGCAGGCAGAACTGGTGACCTTGGGGAGCTATTTAGAAGGAAGCTGCAAAAGATTTCATGCTTTTTCATGGCTGCGTAATATTCCATGGTGTGTGTGTGTGTGTGTGTGTGTGTGTGTGTGTGCGCGCACACACACATACATACCACATTTTCTTTATTCTTTTTTTAATCTTTGGTAGAGATAGAGTCTTCCTCTGTTGCCCAGGCTGGTCTCAAACTCCTGACCTCAAGCGATCCTCCTGCTACAGCTTGCCAAAGTGCTAGGATTACAGACATGGGCCACAATGCCTGGTCTATCACATTTTCTTTATCCAGCCCACCGATGACGGGCACCTGGGAGAAGGAAGTGGGGCAAGGGTTGAAAACCTGTTCATTGGGTTCCACATTCACTATTTTGTGTGATGGGTTCAACAGGAGCCAAGCCTCAGCATCATGTAGTATACCTCTGTAACAAACCTGCACGTATACTCCCCAATCTAAAATTTAAAAAAGAAAAAAAAGAGGCTGGACATAGTGGAGAGCCCATGGGCTGGGGAGGGAGGAGTCGGAAGCAGAGACCTTGCTTTGGGTATGGAGACAGGGTTGAGGGGGCTGAGGCAATATTAAGGCAAGGTTTTTCTCCCCAGTCAAGGCATTTATTTTTGAGGCAGGGTCTCATTCTGTTGCTCAGGCTGGAGCACAGCAGCACGATCACAGCTTACCATAGCCTCAACCTCCTGGGCTCAAGCGATTCTCCCACCTCAGCCTCCCCAGTAGCTGGGGCCACAGGTGCACCCCACCATGCCCAGCAAATTTTTAAAACTTTTTGTAGAGATGAGGCCTTGCTACGTTGCTCAGGCTGGTTTTGAACTCCTGGGCTCAAAGCAATCCTCCAACCTCGGCCTCCCCAAGTGTTAGAATAACAGGTGTGAGTCACCCTACCCAGCCAAGGCAGCTATTTACAGAAAAATACTTTAGGGAAAGAGGAGTTCCTTTTAAAATGGGAGATAGCGGCCAGGCACTGTGGCTTACGCCTGTAATCCCAGTACTTTGGGAGGCCAAGGTGAGAGGATTGCCAGAGTCCGTGGGTTCAAGACCAGTCTGCACAATAAATGAAAAAGTTATGTGGGTGTGGTGGCATGTACCTGTAGTCCCAGCTACTTGAAAGGCTGAGGTGGAAGGATCTTGTGAGCCCAGCAGGTCGAGGCTGCAGTGGCCATGAGCAGCATGCCACTGCACTCCAACCTGGGCAACAGAGTAAGACTCCAACAACAACAACAAAAAGGGGAGACAGAGGAGAAAGAGCCTGGGGGTGAGAGGGTCAAGGGGAAGGCAGGTGAGACTTGAACCCTGCCCACCCCTGCATCTCGGGTACACATCTGAGCAGGTCTAAGGGACTGGTTGCCGGAGCACACGGGAGGGGCCACTCCAGCCTGCAGAGGGGTCCCTGAAAGGAGTTGGGGAGCCCCGGGGCCAGCATCCTCCTCGCAGATCGGCTTTGTGGTCATGTGACTGGGGCGCGTTACTCCACCCGCTGCTTTCTGTTGCACCCTCTCTAAAATGGGTAGGATGCGGAGGTGGGGAGGATGTGTCCTCTCGTGGGTTGTGTGGGATGAAAGGAGGTGACTCTGTGTGGGTTGGGGGAGGAGGCTGGGCAAGCAGAGGAGTGGTGTGGAGAGCTTTTCTTCTCTCTGAGGAGGTCGTGGGTCCAGGAGAAGCAGCTGAGCCTGCGGGTCTGGCCCCTCCAGCTTCATCCGTCTGGTCCTTTTCCATCCTTCAAGGCCTGTTCTGGGCTCACCTCCTCCAGACTGCCTTCCCTGACTTCCCAGCCCATCTGTTCGCTGCTTTGTCTAGAGCGATCTTGTTCAGGGCCAAGATCTTATCCTTATGTTGAACCTCACTCTGGGTCAACTTTCTCTCCTGAGTCCAGATGGAAGGTTCCAGGGAAAAACGTTAGTTAGTTTGTCAGGTTAGCCGGGTCTGAGGCTCCCAAGGCACTTAGAGGAAGTCTGGGTTCCAACCTGTCCACATTTTCCTGGATTGTATAGGGGATGTGTATGACTCAGAATGACAAAAACAAGAAAAAAACCCAAACACACAAAAGTCCCAGCCCCATCTAAATAAAAGACACCCGTGGTGCTTGACCCTAATCTTACTGTTTATTTGAACGTTTTTGTCATGTGGGGCCACCGAAAGCCTCTCTGGGCCTGGCCCTCGGGCTTTGGCAGGTCAGGTTGGCCAGAGCCCAGAGCAGTGCAGGGGACAGGACACCAGAGCCCCACAGACCCAGGGCTGGGGGGAGCAGTCCCCGATCTGTGATCACCAGCTGCTGGGGCAGACGCCAAAGGATTACTCAGCCCAAAGCCCTGAATCTGCTGACGAAGCCGCCACAGGCCACCTTAAAACTAAGACAATTATTCCCCCAGGGGACAAGTCA